GTTGTCCATAGCACTACAAGCCACTGTACAGGTTAGTAACGGACTAAAACATGTTAGACGGAGCAGCGTGGCACGCTATACAATGTTGGTAGAGATCCGACTAACAAATTGGCATTTATTCATGTATACTTGGACTGTAAAAGGCCAACTATTTAGAACAACAAAATATTGTTGAAACTACTTTAAATGTGGATATTTAGGCCTTCATCTACAAACTTATAATCCTATGCGATTATTATTAAAATACTTTGTCTTGATTAAGTAGATAACAGATCTATGGGGACCACATAAAAATCTCCTAAATTGAGTAAGTAGGGTTCTGCCTTTTTAGGAGAGTGGTTAATCGCCTCTGTTTAATGACCAAGACTGACAAGCTTGTATTAAGAGATTGTATACCCGGCCGGTGCAAGACTCGGGATGCTTTAGGAATCTGAGTAAATGAGAATAAGGTATAATAACAAATCAAAAAAATATTCAATCATAATCTAAAATAATGTGAAAGGAAACAAAATAATCTTATCAATGTTTTAAAATTGGAGTCAGATAAAACGAGGATAAATACATTAATATTCTAAACCACCTCATACTAAAATTGGAGTCAGATATGAGTTAAGTTTAATATAGATCAACATTGTGCACTGGAAAGACCGAACATGCAGTGAACCTTCATCCACCAGTGGATACCGTCATTGGACCAACTGGCTGGACCCTACAATATTTTAGAAGGGATTATTTTATTGTTTTATGATGATTAATAAGTAAATATAAATAGCAGTGCAAATTAATTTGACTTGTAAATTTGATTTACTAATATTTTTTAAAAATCTGTTTTGTGTTAATGTGACATGGTCACTATAAATAAAAGTTATTGTTTGAAGAATTTGGCATGTGGCCCTTCACTTGGTTTGCAAAACTTGATGTGGCCCTCGAGTCTAAAAAGTTTGCCCACCACTGCACTAGATAGGTCTCAAGCTCAATTCCTGGAGAGCCACAACTCTGCACAGCTTTGCTCCAACCCTATCAAGCCCAGCTGATCCAAAAGAATTGAGGTGTTCCAAAGAGTCATGAACAAAGAGGTGTGAACCTACACTGGGATCACAGTTCGGTTTAGTTACGATTATCGGGGCAATTATAAAGAATTATATTATGAGAGGAAGCATCATGCCAGCAGGTCAAAGGGGCCACAGTAAGAGAGAGACACACACCTAGATGATTATAAATGAATCATTGTAAATATACCGATTATTATTGTTTTTATTACTGTTTTATCCTAAAAATGTACAGTTTATTCAGATCTATTTTTGTATTGAATTGTATGAATAATTAATATTGAATAATACTATAATATATTGAATATTAATGTGATATATTGAATAATATGATGTATTGTTGATATTTTATTTAATTATTATATATTAACATCATCTTTTTCCTTTTTTTGCTACTTTTTACTTTGTGTAATGTTTTTTTTCATTATATATGTATGTTACTTTTTATGTAAATTTTATAACTGCTTTGGCAATACATTTGTAACAATTGTCATGCCAATAAAGCATTTATTGAATTGAATTGAATTGAATTGAATTGAGAGAGAGAGAGAGAGAGAGAGAGAGAGAGAGAGAGAGAGAGAGAGAGAGAGAGATGGAGTTTACTTTCATTTTCTCAATGGGAGTGAATAAGGGCTTTTGCTGTAACTTTAGTGTCAGTAAATGACTGTCCAGCAAATACATGTGAACTGCAGAGTTTATGTTTTTTAATTACTCGCGGTCACCTCCCTCGCCATAATATTCTACTGTGACAGCGCACATGAGATCAATGACGTCAGTATGTAATAACCAGTTATGATCTTTTACTGAACTGAGACCAAATTGTCCCCATCTGCATCGTGGTGAACCAAAGAAACAATCAATTTTGACACCCTTACATGAACACCTTCATTGTTTGGATCAGCTATGTTTGATCGGGGTTGGAGCAAAACTGTGCAGAGCAGGCCGGTGTCCTGCAGATTTTAGCTCCAACTTGCTTCAACACACCTGCAAGGATGTTTCTAGACTGCCTTGTAAGAGCTTGATTAGCTAGGCCAGTTGTGTCTGATTGGGGTTGGAACTAAACTTTGCAGGATACAGGCCTTTCAGGAATGAATCTGGACATCCCTGCACTAGAGGTTGCTGTTTGTTTTCTCATATATGTCATTTCTTATGAATCCACCAGAGGTCACTGTATACATTACTGCATATCTTAACATTCTTCTGGTATGCATCCTTAAGAGAAGCCAGTTGGCTTGTCATCAAAACCTTAGTGTTTTCAAACACAAACTACAAGAGGAAAGCCACGACTACGCACTTTTTTCAGGCTTTTGTTTTTATCTGGTTTCTGAAATTTTCCTTCGCCAGACTCAAACCCTAAGTAGGACACTAATCATGGTGAACTATTGAGCAAATCATTCAGGCTGGAAAAGCAGTCCATATACAGTACCACCCTGTAGCATTCGTTTTACGCACAAAATGCAGCCATATGTACTCACAAGCACATATTTCTCGGTTCTCAAATATGTATCCCTCGGCACATTATCCCAATGAGTCTACGTAAAGAGATGCTTGAAGAGCGTAAGAGGCTAAGTTAGTTAGTTAGTTAGTTAGTTAAACTTGTGTGTTTTTAACTGTTTTTGTGGATATCTGTGTTTATGTTACCAGTGTTAAAGGCCAATTCTTGATCTGTGACAAGCAGAACAACCAATATAGTTTAAACAAAGAAATATAAACTACTTTTTTTACTTTAAAGAACTTTTTGTTGAATGGAAAGTTTCCGTGTAATGTTCGTGTTGGTTGTTAAAGATGCCAAAAAGAAGCATTTTTAAAAGTGTACACAGGCCCCTGTTTACAATGTGTAGCTCAAATAAAGTTTACTCTAAACTCTTTGCTGTCATCAACTACAAAGTATCACATGAGATTAAAAAGTCTATGTGTGCTTTGTGAAAATGTATATATTGAAGCTTTAAAAATTTGGCCAATTTTTTTGTACATATTATTGAAAATAGGTTATAGCAGTTTGAATGAAAAGATGAATTGAAATGTTTTTCACAATGTCAAAATACTTGCTTAATCTTCTTTTTGTTTTACAAGAGCTGATTTTGACCTTTATGGAATCCACAGGTTGTGGGTAAACTTTCTAGCATGATATGAAAACAATCCAAACAACATCTTGTTATACATGAAAGGAAATCTGAAGGAAACATCTTCCCATAGATAATTTCACAAGCTATAAGACTCCAAAATGTATTATTTTGTGTAGGTTTCAAACATTTTAACATAGATTTTTTCTTATCCAAATAAAACAATACAATAATCAATTTAAATATTGTGATTTTAAAGACGTTGCTGATCAGATGCAAAATAGTTAGTATAGTTTTATATATATATATATATATATATATATATATATATATATATATATATATATATATATATATATATATATATATATATATGAGTATAACTTTCATAAAACAATTCTTGTAACGTGAATACTGTACAAAGATTTTAATTGCATTATGACGTTAAATAATATTTTTTTAATTCCACATTTTTACATGCATTGTGCTTTGCCTTTTCAAATCTCTGTCTGTGCTTTGCTGGAATTGAGCACTTCTGCAAGTTCTGCAATAGAGACAAACAACCAACAGGGGGCGAATTTTCAAAAATCGTCCCCTTGTCCACAATGCTTGTTAGATAACAGTCATTCATTCTCCCATTCTTCAAACAGTTTCATGCCCTATTTTCATTCATATTGTCACAATCTGATTGCTCATTTCATGTAAGCCTGCTACAATGTGTTTAACAGCATGGATATAATGTTCTACAAGACAAAACCTCTGGTGAGGACAAATAACATACGTCCACAAGCAACAGTGTGCTTTTTTTACTTTTTATATTGTATTGTATTATATTGTATTATATTATAAGCTATACTCTCAGAAATAAAGGTTCAAAAGCATTCAAAACTCTTTTTAACACATACATTTTTGCAAATAAAGGTGTTGAAAAAGGGTGCATATTACCCAAAAACTTTGAAAATTTTGACTCCACTGTACATTTTAGGTTCTAACATGTATACCTTTAAGTTAACATTATGGACCTTTTGGGTACAAAACTTCACATTTTAAAAAGGTACTGCCCCAGTTCAAGCTTTTATACCTTTATTTCTGAGAGTTGAACTATGGCTATGAAATTTCCATTAATATTAATTTAATTACAGATAACCTCTTTGCCCCTGACATCAAGTTTACAAGGATTTTTTAAAAATTATATATTACTTTTATTAGGAACATTTCCAGAATCTAATATTTAAACATCTTGAATATAATAATAGAAAATCCAAAATTTCTATGCCAAAAAAAAAAAAAAAGAGTTTGATAGTACATTTGATGTATAGATGTAAAATATAACACACTTAGTAAATACAACTGCAGGCACAGTTACAAAATCAATATATTTGGAATTTATTTTTCTGGTTACATTCTGTGCTTAAAAACAAAACAAAACCAAATAAACTAAATCACAATCAAACCATTGAAATGGCCATGCCTTGCAAAACGACATATCAACAACTTGCAGTAGTATATCACACCCACATAAAGAAAGAAGTAAAAGATATCTCAACAATCTTAATCAGGCAATACATGTTTTCAATAAAACAATCAATGCAGCTGAATGCTTTTGATGAGGCTGGTCGAAAACCTAAGGCGTGCATCTCAACTGAGAATAATTTATTCATAACAAAAAAGGCTTACATGAAGATATTAATAGACTATGACCCAGGCAGAATGCATGCAAAATTCATTCACTCCACCAAAGCAGCACTGATTGATTACAGAATCACACGGAGAGAAAATGTAATAGAGAGCGAGAGCGCGCGCGAGAAAATGACTGAGCGAGCGAGAGAGAGAGTGACAGAGACAAAGTGCAAGTGAGGGAGAGAGAGAGAAAGCAAACTATCCGTACCTTGCAGCTGAGCAGCGCAGCGCTAGAATCGGACGCGGACATGCCTACAGAGCCCGCCCGGATCGCCTTCCATCACTCGGTGGCCAAGCGAGGCGCGAGCGGCTCTCCATGCTCCGCGGTGCAGAGGCAATGGCACAGACAGGGAAGCCTGAGCTCTGATGCTGGCGAGCGAACGCGCTGCTGCTGCACTCGACGATTATACAAAATTGATGCCCTGCTACTGCAGCAGCGGAGTTGTGCTGCTCACTGCCCTCCCTCCGTCGCTTCTGCTTTTCTTCCGCCTGCTCTCACATTCAATCAGGCTCCATTTTCTCCCGCTCCAAACACTGGAGATGCTGATGCTGTGCTGCAGCGGGGGAGGAGATGTTTACCTCTCACACTAGACTCTCACATACTTACTTCTAATTCTTTTACAAAGTAAAAAAACAAAACAAAAAAAAAATGATATTTGGAAACGTGCTGTGCGGGAAGTGAAACTGTCTGATGCCTAAAATCAGTGTTCCAAAAGGGGGGGTTTCACAGGGATGCCTTAAAATAACCATTTTTGTTTCCCTATAGTGAGGCTCTATTCTTAATGGGAACAACAGTTTAAGGATCTTTTTCCACTGTATAAAACTGTGTTTGTGCAATTGAAGGATAAGGGATCTTAGCTTAAAGGATTTTAGCTCTTAAAAGAACAATTTCCCCTTTAAACAACTTATTTTAAGGTACAATTCTTGCTATTAATATTAACCTGGACTTTTGCCCCAAACTACTAATTCGCTGTTTATTAACCTTTGTGGTCTTTTGGGGATCATTCTCTCTGGTGTGATTTGGAGTCTTCATTTGGCTACAGCATTTGTTTCAGCAAATAATGATTTTTGGTGGCATTTTTTTTTTTTTTTTTTTTTTTTTTTTTTTGGAAAATGCTATGAAGTGTTTTTTTTTTTTTTTTTTTTTGCTTAGCAATGCACTCTGGGCAAATTTACTAGGCCTACACTTTAGTTATGTTCATGGCTGTTTTTGTCCCATTGAATTCCATTATAATGACATTTTTTATTGCAAAGCTATGACTTTATATAATCGTGCATTAATGATTTTTGCTGGATTTCATTGTTGGAAGAGGTCGATTTTTATTTTTTTACCATTAATCAGTTGTAGTGCAAAAAAAGCTTATAAAAGCTTATTTACTATATGGAGTATAATATGTGTGAGAGAGACCTGTGCACACTTATCTTGATATGTTTGAGAAAAAGGGTAGTACATTTGAACAGTGCACAAAGGTTAATAGTGGTTGGGTTTAGGAATTGGGTAGAATTAGGGATGTTTATTTAGATCAAGCTGTACTAAAAAGCAAGTAACAGGCAGGTAATAAGCCACTGGTTAATGTGAAAATTGGTACTTAAACTAAAGTGTTAAAGTTTTGTTTTGGCTCTTATTTTGAATCGTAACCTTTTAAAAGTTTATCTATCCAATTTTTAAAATAGTTTTACTATATGCTTTTGATAAAACTTTTAACAATCAATAAAATGTTCTTTCTTTAAAAGAAATATGCATAGTGTTTTCAGGCTGTTTACATGATTTAATTTCCTCCTTGTTTCAGCGAGCAGAAAACTCAATACCAGCAGAAACTCCAAAAGCTAATGCAAATGTTAAATCAAGCTCACTTGTGCATGAATTAACAATGCAAACAAACACATCTGCCTGATGAGAAACAGCTGGGAAACCAATTGCGCTAATGCGTTTTGTGCCGTATAATGGAGGGAAATAAATGAAAAGTGAATGAAGTGTTTTCTAAATCCTGAGTAAATAATTATAATACACTTAAAAATGAAATATCAGTGATTTGACCCCAAAGTCAGTAAATTATCATAAAATGATTAGATCGAACTGAAATAAGTTGGCAGTACTTACACTAAAGTCTAATTTTCCTGTTCTTGTTACTGCTATAGCTTTTTAATAGTGGCAAAGTGTGTGATAAGATTTACACCACAAATATTTAATATTTGAGATGCTTTTGTGTCGGCGTCATGGTGGCACACTGGGTAACACAATTGCCTCACAGCAAGAAGATCGCTGGTTCGAGCCCCGGCTGGGTTAGTTGCCGTTCCTATGTGGAGTTTCTATGTTCTCCCCATGTTTACATGGGTTTCTTCTGGGTGCACCAGTTTCAGTTCAAAGACGCGCTGTAGGTGAATTGAATAAGCTGAATTGGCCGTAGTGTATGTGTGTGAATGCAAGAGTGTATGGGTGTTTCCCAGTGTTGGGTGGGCTGGAAGGGCATCCGCTGTGTAAAACATATGCTGGACAAGTTAGCAGTTCATTCCACTTGGCGACTCCTGGTAAAAAAGGGACTAAGCTCAAAATAAAATAAATAAATGAATGCTTTTTTTGTAACATTTTTTTTTTTTTTAAATTGTAGTTTTGAATTGGAAATATTGAATGAATTATGTAGGGAATTCAGGTCATTCATAATTGAAAAAAATCTTTGCTTTCGTTTTCAAAATGATACACAATCAATATAATTTGTATTATAAAATGCAAATACTAGTTCAAAATAGTAAATTAATAATAAATTTAATTCCTTATGTGGTTCTTCATGATCTTTTCATTCATTTTTAATGTAATGTAATCTGTATTTATATAACGCATTTATTGTGTATTGTGGGTGGGGGGGGGGGGGGGTGTTGGTAGCATCCACTTGGATGATTTGTATTTAAATGTATTTCAACTCTTCACTCAAGTAATTTATTTAATTAGTTACTTTATATTTTTTTTTATGTAAAAAAAAATCTGTAAAATTTGAATGAGAGCAAAGTATTACAGGCAAACAAAAGTTAATTTCATGATCAAATGAGAAAATAGACATAAACTACAGTATGTAAATAAGTAAATTAAAGATTTTTTGTTACATAATTTGCACCAAAACATTGTTACATTTTAATTTGTTTATGAACTGCCTACAGAGCAATAAAATTACTTTCTAATGAATCAATCATTGAATCATTCATTGATTCCTTCATTTTTCTTCAGCTTATTTATCAAAAGTGACCATAGCAGAATGAATCACCAACTATTTCCAGCATATGTTTTTTACACGGCGGATGCCCTTCCAGCCGTAACCCAGTACTTGGAAACACCCATACACTCATACACTACGGCCAGTTTAGTTTATTCAATTCTCTTAAAGTGCATGTCTTTGGTCTGAGGAAGAAACCAGAAGAAAGCCACGTGAACACGGGGAGAACATTCAAACTCCACACAAACTCCACCTGATCCATCTAGGACTTGAACCAGCAACCTTCTTGTTATGAGGCAACAGTGCTAATCACTGAGCCACTGTGCCGGCCCATTGAATCATTCATTTTCTTAATTTTTTTTTTTTTGCTTAGTCCTTTTATTAATCAAGGGTCGCCACAGCGGAATGAAAAATCCAAAAGTCGCCAGCTTATCCAGCAAATGTTTTACACAGTGGATAGCCTTCCAGCTGCAATCCAACACCAGGAAACACCCATACACTCTTGCATTCACACACATACACTACGGCCAATTTAGTTTATTCGAGTCGTTTATTCACTTTTTGTTTATTCCTGGCACCTTTATTTTAAAATAAATAATTCACCACTTACTTATAACAAACCAGTAACCATTAAAGTCAATACTTTTGGTTTTTTCGGGACAGCGGGCACAAAATTACTTTTTTTTTTCAAATAATGAACACAGTAATGGGATTATTCAGTCATTCATTCATTTTCTTTTCGGCTTAGTCCCTTTTAAATCCAGGGTCACCCCAGCGGAATGAACCGCCAACTTATCCAGCACATGTTTTACGCAGCAGATGCCTTTCCAGCTGCAACCCATCTCTGGGAAACATCCATACACACTCAATCACACTCATTCACACACATACACTAGGGTCAATTTAGCCTACCCAATTCACCTTTATCGCATGTCTTTGGACTGTGAGGGAAACCGGAGCACCCGGAGGAAACCCACGCGGATTTAGGGAGAACATTCAAACTCCACAAAAAATCGGCAACTGTCCCAGCCGAGGCTCAAATTAGTGACCTTTTTGCTGTGAGGTGACAGTACTACCTACTACCTACATCACCATAATGGGATTAGACTAACTTTTTTTTTCTTTTACCAACAACACACAAGCCTCTCCTACAAGTGAGCACTGAGCATATGATCAACGGACCTATGGTTTTATGTGCAGTATTGCCAAAAGTGCCAGGAGTAAAAATTTTACTATTTACCCCACCTGTGGGGCAAGTTGTAACACATGCTTATAAAGTCAGATTTCACACAATTAATTTAAATTCAGTTTACTTTTAATAGTATATTTCCTCAGTTCTTAGCTCAATTTTTTAGCAAAAAAATTTAAATTCTATACATTTTTTTATATAAAAAGTTCCCAACATTACACCTAAAATAAAAAAAAAAGATTTTGCTAGTTTAATTGGTTGTCCAACAGTGTGTGGCTTAATTGTAACATGTTACAACTAAATCGTGTGTCGTGTTTTCCTCAAAACTGGCCAGCAGTCTCTGTGTGTCTTTTACATCTTTCAAAATGGTTCCATCTTTTAGCCTATAGAAGACGATAATCACAACAATATAAGATTTTATGTACATACTTTCACAGATAAATAAAAAATATTGTCTATAATAAAAAAATACTTTTATGCTGCAAAAAATGGTTTCTCTTGTGTTTCTCATCCAAATTTTGCTGAACTTTTTCAATAATTGCCAAGAAGAAGTCTGTTGACACTGTGGTGAAAACCTTGCGAGCATGCCATGGTTAATTCTGAGCAAATACCTTAAAACTCTGTTACATTTTACCCCGCGTTACTTTGTGCTCTATGCTCCCCTAATGAAGTCAATGGTTACAAGTTCTTTCTTCAAAATATCTTTGTGTTCAAAGACACTCAAAGGGTTGGAACTATTACATTTTTTGAGTGAACTATCCCTTTAAGTGTGCAACCAATTGATTTAAACATGCTGATTCATTCTGCAACACCACTTAGCTGTAAATTAGTAGTTCAAGAGTTCACACTTAGCTGATGATTTAAAAAAGCTTGTTTGCCATGCTGTCCCGGGAGAGAGCCCCGAGCTCAAGGACTCCTCGAGCCCGGGGCTTCCCCCCGTTTGGCAGAGCGAGAGGGGAGCCTGAGCTCGGTGGATCTCAGAACTCCCCTGCTGCAGTAGCTAAGGGAACACGAGGGGTTAGATAAATGCTTGGTTGTTATGTATGTTGAATGTCTTTGGATGGTGGGAGGAAACCGGAGAACCCCGAGAAAACCCACGCGGACACGGGGAGAACATACAAACTCCTCACAGAAACACCCACCGGTCCTGTGGAAC